TCCTTTTCTATTTTCACTATACCCATTCTCTAATTACTCACGCAGCATGCATATTGTCCTTCCGCCATTGCATAAAAGAGTCCATGATATGGGTAGGTTTGTGTCTGGCAATATAACCCAACGAATTCAACAACTTATCGAATGCCGGATCTACACCCGGACCTACAATCCCGGACAAGTCTGGGTCATGATCCTGCAAATAATTTAAGAGTTTGTTAATTACAACGTTAAAAAGAATGTGAAGAAAATGTTAAGAGGCAGAACAAAAACGTTGAAAAGCGCATTATGGTAAAGAGCAAACTTTAGAGTATAGAGTTCGCGGATAAATGATTGAAAGAAAAGGCAGGAACCGGGGAAAAAGCAAGGGTAAGCATGAGAGTATGCTTTAGGAATTTCGACCAAGAGAAGGTTTTCGTTATGAAATGTTGGATCCAGAATGTAATCGTGGTAAAAAAGAAATCCCGCGTAAAGAATGCTTGCAATATCGAGTGTTCTTTTCTCACAAAACACTCTACATTTTCAGGGATTTCCCCAATCTAATGAATTCCCGTCCCTTCTCTGCTCGTGGGTGCAATCTCATACTCTATGATTACTTTCAAATCTATCTAGCATAACCCGATTCTTTCTCTCAATTTTGCACTCTCTCTGGTTCGTTTGCTTTTATACTGTCACCCTCTCACGTTCAAGACAAGCACATACCAGGGTATACCCCATAATATTACTCAACTTCCTCTCAGCGGTTACGGTGAAATGTGTGAATAGTATGTGGAAGGCATAGTCGGCGGGAGTCTTTGGATCGAGTGCCATAGGGAGTCTATTCACTAGTTCATGAAGTATCTATAGTAAGAATTATAGTTATCTCTACACTTTATAAAGGAATGAGATCGCTGGGCTGACTACTGGTTGAATTTTTGAACTTTAGATGCTACCATGTGTAGAAACGATTGGTTGGATTGTTTGTGCTATTCACATGCTGCACATGTGTTCATTTCATACACAAATGAGTGACAAAACATTGAAGAAAGGTTTTGGCCATGAATGACTTGGTTTATTCAATGCCACCATACCAAAACAAGCAATTTCAGCTAGGTTCTGTTCTGAGATTAAAATATACAATGTTCTATATCCCCAAATTTATTGATAATTCGGGCATTGTAAATAAGGGATTCTAATACTATGTAAATCTCGGCAAAAGTCTTTGTCATTAGAAACAAAGGATGTTAAACTTACTCGCGTGCAGTCTCCAGTAGACTAATATCTAAAAAGACAGGACGAGAGATGTTTTCCGCGATAGCTAACCAAACTCGCACATCGTTGCGTCGAAATGCAGGAGTCAACAGCATGCTTTGCAAATTCTAACCTTGCAAGTATTGTCAGAACTGGATTACAAATTGGTTTTTCCATCTGCGTGCTGCTCGTGATCTGTGACAATATATAAGGTTCATAATAACACGTTCGTGCAGGCTATTTAGATTAAGACTATGGGTCATCGAAAGGATTGAGAACTGCGGCTTCAGCCACAGAGCTATTCTACTTAGCGATGGCAGTTACTGAATGTCATCTGATCGGTGAACACACAAGCTTATTACCAAACCAACCGGAAAAAATAAAAACTGGGGACATTCAATATTTATCTGAAGCCATGAATGAAAAGTTGAATGTTAATTTAGAATAGTGCAGATGAAACGAAGTAAATACTTATTATGGAATTGTCCTGACAAACTTGCACGAATTTTATGACCGAAATAAGTTTTCCCGTCTATAATCTATATAGTTTCCTATAAACATTTAACTACGTTTACAAGGCTTATTTAGCATTAGTAAACGTCGATTGCGCATTCGTGTCTTTCTAGTATGACTGATTATTACATATTTATGGCCTGCATGCGTTCCTAATACACAAAACCGCTAACAATGCTTTACTATATTGTGCCACAAAGTCCCTGGACGAATTAAAAATCACACAGCTCGGTCAATTTAAACCCAAACAGGGTTTAAATAAATCAAGTGTATTTCCCATTATTTACTACTCTCTTCTCGTTTACAGTTCAGGCAAATGAAATAAAGTTTCAACATGAAGACTACGCAGAACCAATTGTTTAAATGAAAATTGAGATGCTGGGAATTCAACGTAGAACGGCAATAAAGTAGACCTTCTATCAACAAAATCGCCTTGAAAACATTACGCTCAAGTTTCCCGTAAGAGAGTGTATTAGACGGACTAGTAAAAAATTGCAAGTGTCAAGTTAGTAAGTACGACAAACTTGCGTTTTTTCCCTCTGGAGTACAAGCTTTGTTACTATTGTCTTCGTATGGTTGACATTATTTCTCGAATTCATACACATAGTCAACTGAGAGCAATTCTATCCAACAAGACTCCGTTTTGCTGTTAGTATGGGAATACCGTTAGGCCTATTATTGGCTTTATTGACAGTTGTTGTAGTGACTATCAAGTTGAGGTTTATAGTTCATACCAGTTAATTTGGTGAGATAGTTATCGGTAAGCTGTCGAAGTAACGTAAATCCATTCACTCTTCGACAAAGTCATCACAATAGTATATGTAAAATTCGGTATCTCTGCGTATTGCCCTTTTATAGTGAAATTTGTCATGGCGCTATTCGCTGGCATTACATCTATAGCTACCGCTTAGGCTTTGAATGAACTTTTATATTCAAGCACTAAAATTTCTCGGATGTTAAGAATAGAAATAACCAATTAAAGATCGTTGCCATATAATATGCACATACGCTTTCATCAAGACATCCATGCAATAATTGAGTCCGTCTATAGGCATTAAACAACCAAGTCCTTACATTATGCAGGCAAATGGTAGATTTAGTCTCGATTCTTGATGCATGGCTCTTTTCATAAATATCAACGTTCGTAAACTCGTCTTGCAATTGACGTAATTACAGTAATTACAAAATTACACATTATAATTACGCTTGAAAGCGGATTTTATTAGTATGGAACGTTACTTTCTACATCGGCATTTCATTGATCGTACTAACCAATTATAATTAGGGTTAGTTGTGGAATATTATCCCCACATTTCTTCTAACATCATTACAGAGATTCTCTGTTGGATTTGAGTCAAGACGTTAGAAGGGCCAGTCTATAGCTTTAGGCATGTCATCCCAGTTTTTAGTGGCGGCTAGTATGTTTTAGGCCATTGTCTTGTTAAAACGCTATACATAAAATTGTTGCCCATTATTTTGGGAAAACAGTATAAAATTATCTTATCCCTTATGCAGAATCCTTTAACATAAGGTTAGGGTTAGGGTTAGGGTTAACGGTTCCAGATTGTTCGAGTGTTTTAATGTTACCATAAACCATACTGTGGGAATAACCTTGCGTTTATGAATTTCCGAATGCTTTGGTCCTACAATTGTTGTCTGCAAGTCATCAAAGAATGTTAAGAAATATTGCTAGTGCAAAATACCTATAAACAAGCAGTTATAAATCCGTTATCTGACAATCATTTTACATTTTACATTGTTTTTAAATCGATCTTAAATTGGTAGAGATATGCACGATTGAATGTTACAGCAAAAATTACGGATCTTTTTGTCCCACACTGTACGTCGCTTAGTCAATGATTGTATCTCATCCGTTAGCGAATGAAATGACGTTCATTAATTGCAGTAATAGTCTTACCGGCAGATCTATGCTCTAATCAATACGCCTTTCAAGCTTTTATTAATTGTCTATGACGGTGTGTTTTTTTAGTAAACATCAATACTCTCAAACCATTCAGAGATAGATTATTTTCAATCTCTGTGTTTTCACCAAGAGGATTTTTTATATGGCACATGCCTTTTTGCTGCTCATATAGGTATCATGTGATAGTTCGGCTGATAATCTCTTGCTTTGAGTCATGTGATGTGTCAAGTTAGAAATTAAGAAATAGAATTTGTCCAATATAAGCAAATAAATTAATTAATTAAAAGACAGCAAGAATGTTTGAGAGTAATGACGTCAGTGATGTTACTATGTTTACATGATCACTATTACATATTAATCAGCGAAATCCTGCTGATCAAACCCAAATTCGTTTATTGACTAATGAATGAGAATACCCATGCTCTATTGTAAGCGTCACGTTAAATTGTTACTCAGAATGAAAATTATTCAACAGCAAGGATTCACACACTGGGTTACTCTAACAAATAAAAAATTCGTGTTGCTACCTAAACACATGTGAAAATATAATTTTTACTGGATTGCGCTTTTGGTTTTTGATAAATGGTCTGTCGTTTTGTTCTGTTTTTTTGATAAATTTGGCAACCCGTTCCTGTTCCGATGGTTTTGACCTTTGCAGATCACAAGCTACCGATTTGAACTACTATCGCAGGGTTTATCGTCACGGCAATTAGATGGGAGAATTACTCTGTTATTGATGGCAATGTGTTTGATATTATTATGACTTTCTTGCAAACGACTTACAAAGTATAAATTATTGACAGTTTTACGATAAACTGTTGCGATACAAATAATTTAAACGTTTGCCTCATAATAGATTGGAATGTGTGGATGCAAAAATCATTTCGTTTTGTAGACATGAATAAACACGGGAAACTCAGCAATGGCTGCTGCTGTCAGAATCCAAGCTTGCTATTTCACACATCTTCTTTCGTTCACATTTGTCTATTTTATCGACTATCTAACTACTATAAATGAGTATGCATACTCTTTCTATTCGATTGTTAATTACTCTCTCAACGAATATACCATATGATAATCTGCAAGTACTCCGGGTTATTACCAAAAATGCATATTTGTTAGAATAATGGTTTGAAAATAATGATGCCTAGATATCTATTACGAAAGTATAAATAAAAGCTTAGGGACTTTTGCTGCCCCATGCCGACATTTGTGTTATATATAATCCATACCGCATCTACATTAATCGTTCCTTTGTGATTACCGGGTGCTTTAATAAACGTGACTCGTTTGTTCTTCAGCAGAGACTAGCAATAGGTAGAGACCCTATTAAATTATGCCCCCCGAACGCATTCCGTCGTCAAATCGCAAAATACGAGAACTTACTCGCGAACATAAAGATAACAGCAATGACGATGGACAGGATTCTTCCTATGCGTACGAAGATGAATTTCCGAGGAGCTCGCTCTTGCTTACTGACGAAATGGATAGCACACTCGAAGCTGGCGGAAAAAGTGAAGAATATGAAAAAATGTATAAAAGAATGAAGCTGTTGATCAGAATAGAGGAACAGGTGGGTCAAGCAAGTATCCGAGATGGAGTGAGGTAGGTAATTATAATCGAAATTGATAGTAATTCGCTTGTAGGAGATGGCCAACATAGCAAAGGAGATCAGCAAATGGAGGAAATTTGAGATTGCGATGCTAAAGGAGCGCCGGTAAGTTATCCATTGGAGTTGGCTTGATGGTTTTTATTCGACACGCTGCTCAACACGTTTGGTCTTACTCGCTGTTACTGTCGTTCAGACTACTGAAAAAGCATCTTAGGGAATTTAATTGATCGTTGTAAACCAGTGACGGTACTTATGTGGGATTATATGTATATAATATTATAGACAAAAACTTCATATTAAGAATCACCATTAGACAATAAGAATGTGTATATAATAACGATGTTACAACAAATATATAATTGATAAATAAGCTGCGACCAACCAAAATAATATGATAGATATCTAATTATGGTGGGATGTCATTTACAAGGGTTTATTTTTTGATCGTCTGTATCACGCAGAATTTCAATCACGGACAGTTGTAAAATCACATTGTTTGGCACATGATTGTAGATTTGAAGACAGGGGAAGATGGCGTATACTGTATTTGTATTTCGTAAATCCGATTATTATTGCTTATGTCATGGTACCTTCTTACTGCCAAGGAACGTGCATCCTTGTGATTTCAACTAATAGCTAAACGTGTTCAATTTGCGATAATTCGTTATATTGTGTTGTCTCGTTAGATGTTAATACTGGTTGCCATCGATTATTCCTAAAGACTAATTCGTATAATAACGTATTATTTATTGATAAGTCTGTGATGATAATTTTTACCAGTATCATTGGTAAAAAAGAAAAACAAAAGAGTTTTTTAACAACGTAGGGTCGTGACATCTTTATCTTACAGAAAAAGAAAGTCGAGCCTTTCCTCTTTAGTCAAGAGAGACGAAGAAGCGAATTATTATCGAGATCGGTTCGAGTGTACGTTGCTAGTGAAACGTTGAATAAGAGACAGTAATGGAAAATGTTGTATGCGCTCACACCCGCCATTGTGTCCCCTATTATCCCTTAGACTGTTTTCAGTACAAATTGTACCGAATTCTGATTCATTAACTGAATCGCTTTATATCTCCGTAGTTATTGTTGTATATGGTCATGTGACATTCAAATTTTACAATCCATCCGATCGTAATGGTAATACTACGTACGTAATAGATAGCCTATAAAAAGATGTCTCAAATCGGCCTTGTCTTTGGCATAGTAATAAAGTAAATTTAAAATAAATAAATTATTCAACACTTTAATTTGCATATACATTACTTGTCGCAGAAACATTCGTAAAGACTAGAATCTGGAATAACACCTAATGGAGTGCCTAAATCCATTACTCACCAGTTTGATGAGATCTTTGACTCGTTAGATTTGAAAAAACAATAACATCTAATAATTAATAATAGAGTGATTCTAACATAGTCTTAATAGGGTAAGTTTTACATAAAAATTCTTGTAGAAATGTTTTAACATTTTTAAAATTAAGGAAGGGCAAAAAAAATGATATTACGCATTTTCTGTTCATGCGCGTAAACGTGCAGTACCAAGTATGTCGATTATCCAGTCGTATGGCACAACCCGAATATCTGTAAAGCAAAAATCTAAAGTAGTCAAAAATCGTCATCAACCAATTATTAACTGTCATTACAATCTGGATAGTTGAAAGAGGAAATTGCGCGATCAACCATTGCGTTCCACCCGAAATGCGCCCATTTTGAAATAATATAAGCACTAGACACTACAATTATTCATTACAATGTACTACACTTGTATTAATAACGACAATATGTCTTAACAGTAGAGAATAAGAATATTTTGCCAGTTGAGATTTTTGGTTGCCTGGGAGCGCATTATAAATATCGTTAAGACTATACGTAGACCATCGTAATTTGCTACCTCGTCCGCGCATACGCGCTCGGACACGTATGTACAGAATTAGCTTCACGATGATGTTTTGGGCGTGTAAGGAATTAAATATCTAAACCCATCCATTAAAGATGAATAGTTGCTGAAAATTTCAATAACAATAATATTTCATTACATCACGTGCCACTCGATTAATTTACAATAAATCTCACACTGTAAAATCAATATTGTGTTCTTTTTTGTAGGAGCTGCAAGACATTTTATGTGAGGGGAAGTACGGTAATTATGCAATTTTTGATTGTTAATCACATGATGTAGACGTGACTATAGAGGTATGGCTATATACTAGACATTAGACCAGAAATTTCACGCAAAAGAATATAATCGATTACATAAATTATGTAGATTTTATATTTACATAATTACTTACTTAAGCAGGGACTACTATTAATACAATGCTATTATTATTAAAAATAACAACAATTAATTAATTACTCTATTCATCGCTTCTTCCATCACAGTCACTGACATAGCCTCCTTCTACCCTTTTCATCCTCACCAACTTCATTAATCTTCTCCAATAATAAACTCCTGACCAATACTACTATTAGGATCATCGATCGGTGACTCTGCAACCACAATATCGTACTTCCTTTCGTCTTCCTTATAATCGTCTTCATGAGTAACGTCCGGCGGAGTCCTTGAAATGGAATACTCGGAAATTTTGCGAAGACTAGCAGCTGCAGTATTTGTCGCATTTGTTGTTGGCCGAGTGGTTGGTGATGCAAGTTTATCATTGAACGTGTGCACAGTCTCATATGTTCTACGGCGGGCATTTCGAAGCCTTAAGGGCAAATAAATGGAGAGTCAAGCAGGTAGTGTAGAAAATTTGAGAAATGCCAAGGAAAAAGAAAGAGGGGGACGCTTTAGATTACTTAAGCATTTATAAACCTACTATATTAATTATATTATACCACACTATTGGTATCCTCGATCGATCATTACAAACGCATACGATCAAACGGGTTTAATTACTTACGCCTCAGAATGGGCTAGATTAGAAATTCCTTTACTCAAATTTCCCCACGCTTTAGCGGTAAGATCATATGTCTTTTGTCGTGTCTGCTTGAATCTGGCGAGAGAAAGCATAATTAAATCATGAGAACATAATACACGCATTAAACCACCTTTCGAGAAAATTCGATATGCATACCGCTCAGAATCCGTTACTTCTATGACAGCCGAGCGTATATTAGATAAAGTTTCGCGTCTCCTAAAGAAATTCCGCGAATCAATCGGTTACTCTTACGACGAAAAGGCCACTGAAAAAATAGGTTTGTGTCCCAGCCTTTTAAAAATATTTATCATACTCCTGAACAACCCAAAGTCTATAATTCTCTATACATTCTATTTCCAATTCCAATCACACGCTCTCCTCCTACCTTTCTTTCTCGGCACCGCCTCCAAATATCCCCTTGAACCCATTTCCGACTCCGTTCCCCAAACCGAACGCAATGCCCTTTTTCCCTCCGACAGTCTCGTCTCCACGTTCCTTCGCATTTTCTCTCTTCTTCCCGTCATCCTCGTCCTCATCACCAGATATATCAGACCCAAGCGAGAACATATCATCGATATCGGAAGAAGCTCTATTATCGATATCATTCTCTTCGAGCGTTATTGTTTCCCATTGTTCTTTTAGAAGGTTTAATTCCTCTTCTTGACGAGCAAGTTCTTCCTTGAGTTCGAGAATTCGGCGTTCCTTGCGAGCGATAAACTGAAGAAGTTCTTCTTGTTGTTCGACTCTTGTTGCTGGCGTTACGCGTAAGTGTTTTATTGCTAATTCCGTGTGAATCTAAGATGTAGAAAGAGCGAGGGAAGGAATGTAAAGATATGTGTGTAAAACGGTTGAATTCAAAACTCATTGTCGGTGCGTCTGATGCAGTGTGTATTTTAGTCAAGCTGCTAACTCCCGCCCGGTGCAGTGCGTAAAGTTGTCCCTAGTGAGCTTGCAATAATCGAACAATCGGTGCGAAAGTGAAATTTGCTCCATTATTTTTACCAACCTTGATCTCGTCGTCTTCATTTTCTGTAGTCTTCCTAGTAGTCTCAACGCTATCATTGGTCTTTTCTTCTATCTCTGGCTCTATTGATTCCTGTAACATTTTTCCTATCTCCTCGTAAATGCTCTGTTGCAATAAGAGAAGCAATGTGGGGAGACCATTTTAGGCGGTCGGACAATAAACTATTGTGCGACTACGTTAAATACTTATCTTCCGAATCACATGGTTAACAAGGTACACGATAAGATAAGGTAAGTATAAGGTTCAATGACTTTTATTCCGAAAGACAATGCCGCGATGGAAAACGAAATTGACCATTGATAAGCCTGTCGTAAAAATTATGCTGAATTCATTGATTACCAAGTCCCGGACGATAAACGAATTACTCAGTCGCTTATTTTATTTCTCTGTTTTTAACGCAGAAAACGAGTTATAAGGCGATCGAAAAGACAACATTTTAAGCAAGATGTATTCGCAAGTGCGATGTTTGTCTTAAAATGCAAAACCCAAATTAGAACCATCTAATACTAAATACAAATTGGCAAAAAAGCAAGAAATTGGTAGATGAGCATTTTATGACAAGAGTAAGCTGATAATTATTGTTAGAGTTGACGCTATGCCCTGCTCGTTACAGTCCGATCAACATCTATTATTCATGTCTTAGTCTGAGTGAAATGCATTTAGTATTAGCACGCTAGCAAATTAATTGCGTTCTTGGTGAAAAGTTCTAATAGCGGCAACTTACAGGAATAAAGAAATTGGATAAAGACAAACATTTAAAGATTTGCCGATAATGCGGTAGCCATATTGGCCGTCTACGGTCATCATGAAAGCATTGAGTTATACATAGTAAATACGGTAGTTTTGGGTTAATTAAAAAAATTATAGTTCTGTGGATTAAAAAAAAAGCTCATTGCTGTGAGGACGGTCAAGACTTTCAATACTTAATATTAATTCTGTTTGGAAAGTTCCTCAAAGAGATTGGATATCTTGCACAAATTACAAGCATTTTCCTTTCGAAGCAGCTAGTCGAGGAACTGTCAAATCACAGACGGTAGTTAATGGGTATTTTTATGAAAAAGTTACATATTCATTCATTTTAACATTAATACCAACTTGACAGGAATAATATTGTTGTACTGAAATAATAAAACAAGCTAGAATCTTTTTATACATTAAAAAAAAAAGAACGACTAACAAATGAACGTGTTAACAAAAAGGGAAATAAAGCATTAGCATTAGAGAATTAAGGAAGACGAAAAGTTCAGAATGAGAAAAATCTTTTATGGGATATTGTATTATAAGGCTAGGGACCTTTTAATTATACTAGAAAAAAGATAGTTCACATTTCGTAACAGTTACTGGTTGTTTGTCTATCACGAAAAATCGGTATTTCAAATACGCCAGGTCTAGATCTTTAATGATTACTACTATTCAGTTGTGGAACTTCCAAAGGCAACATAGCTGACTTTTGATACTATAAAAATATATGAAAAAACGTGTACTACATAATGCAAGTCGATGACATAAACATTTGATTTGCATGGAGTTTGGTTCTAGACCATGACCGTAGACAATATATAAACAAACACGCATGCGTATTTACCGAAACTTCTTTTACGACTTGCGTGCTAAGAAGGAATAAATCAGAGGTAGTAGAAGGTTTTCAAGGTGAACAAACAACGCAAACGCATGTAGAGAGATAATCTGGCGTAAGTTATATATAATCTCTCACCATATACTGTTTGCAGGCGAAGACTTTGTGACTCGGGGATAGAGTAAACGCAACTATTGAAGATTTGGTTTCTATTAATTCTATCGCTTTTAATCACTTTCAGGTGTCAATTTTCATTCAGTCACAGACTGCTTTCGAAAAGATAAGAATGGTGCTAATGCGACATCCTTCCTGTAAGTTACATGACATTATTTCTAATATGCGTGGAGATATAAATTTTTGAAAAGATTATATAACTACTGTAGTTTCATCCATCTATTCAACAAAATCATACGGTAATAAGCAGCTGTTTCAGTACTTCCTGTTTCGACGTTAATACATGGACAATTCTCAGCATGGTAAACGCCTCGAACGTTGCTTTGTGACACCCTGAACCGTCAAAAATTCAAAGTCGGTCATTCAGTTGATAGAGGTTGGTAACGATATGAATATGTATAATATCAGAAAAAATTATTTTCTTTTTTAAAAAGGAAGGCATACCTTTGTACGCATCCTGATAACCTTTTTTATATAATTCTTATAACATACTTTTGGCATGAATTAAAATAATGCTACATTGTTACTAACAGGGATGATTAACAACTGGAAAAAGTATTCATACTAATACACGCAAGCGTCTTATTGAAAGTAAGTCTTAAAATTTCTTCACCTGATCTAATTAACCAGTTCCTATTTATCGAATAAATTAAAGTTTCGATTTTCTTAACTTTTTGGTAGTCTTTTCGCAAAGAAGAAGGTAAAATTCTTTTCCTATGCGATTATTAAACAAAACTTATGAAAATAATAAATTTCTACATATAATTAAATAGGTGTCATATCAACAAATCCTCTTAAAGTGGTGGATTGTATATCCTTTCTGACCATACATACAACAAACAACCAGAGTACAAACAGATATCCAATGCATCACTCAACTCACATATGAACGGAACGGCAATTGTACTTGGTATATGATCGCCGTCCCCTCATCCTTAATGCAAGTGATCTTACAATCCGAAAATTCATAAAAGAGTGTAGATCGCTGCCAACTACCAACATACAACGTCATCACGCATAATTTCTTACATGATATTCTAAAAAGATTCAAATCGCCGGCATCTACATTGTAAATCTTCATCTGGATATATCTGATATTAGGACAGTACTGACTGACCAGACCAACTGATGGCCAAAATCTCTGTGAGAACTCGGATTCAACCCCATCGCTGACAATCTTCTCGATGCTACCATTGGTATTTTTAATAATCGTATCTAGTATACCAATATCGATACTTGTCCCAATAACTTTTAATGTACGTAGAGATGTCATTCTTGCATTTGAGAGGGTAGATTTAACTTGATCTGGCACAGAACATCGCTTGAAACATAGTTTTTGCAGGTTGCTACATGCTGCTAGGTCGCTAAGTGACAGTCTTTCGTTGAAATTGATCGAGCAAAACGAGATGTTACTAATGCAATGTGCTAACGTCGGGAGCATCGACAATATTATACCTAGTCGCGTAGGATACCCTTGTATTTTAAGTTTTTGCAGACGGTTCTGTCCCATAAGCAACGGGGATACATCAATACCTCCTGTCGGCGGTGACAGTCTTTGTTTACGGCCTTCGATGATCAATCCACAGACTTTATTTACACGTGCAGTGAGAGTGTTGATATGCCGCAAGATCTTATCACGAGTCATGCACTGTCTCAGAAGCCCGCCCGAGTGAGATAATTCCGATTCAATGGTTAATGTATGCAGATTGGGTGACACCAATTCAATCAATTCTAAGAATGTTTTATCAATGAGATCAACGGTAAACTCGTCGTGACCGCTTGGTTTCGATACCTTTTTGCTTCTTTTGAAAGACAGTGACCTTGGCTTTGATTGTTCGCTGCTGTTGGTCCTTCTACACTCATACCAATATCCTATGGCTCTTAGTATATCATATAGATTCACTTGGGATATGTATCCAATATATGGAAAGGTTGACTTTGCGTGTCGCATTCTCTGCAAGTTCAGTTGCTTTTTCATATGATCCCCCAGAAACATGAAGCATACTTCAATAAGTATGGGTGCATGCTTTTTCCATTTGCGTGTAACACTGGGACCTATCAATTCGAATGGTTTACTCCAGAGTATAGCTACGGTGGCCTCGCACCATAGTCTGTTAACAAGGAAGCACGAATGGAGCGTTTGTCTATCATTAGAGAGGTGGGAAACCGTTTCCGCAACCAAGTCGAAAGACAACCGTAGAGAAGACATCCTGAAGTCGAAAGAGAAGTAACGTGAACTAATCATACAAAAAGTCGGATCACCAATCGAATGGCATTTCTCTTCTGTTGATATAAGCATTGCATTGTACTATTGAAATTGCGTCACACACAAGTTAAAAATGGTTATTAGTCCGAAGAATGTCGACCACAACGATGTTGTGGCCATGAGGATCGCCAATAAACTTTTTTCTATTCTCTCCATGACCATATTAATCCTCATAGTGTAACCAAAATGCTACGCAGTTGAAAGGTATTTGCTTTTTCTTTCGGTTATAGTAACCTCGTTATACCTCGTTATACCGAATTTTCATTATACCGAAGGAATTCTGCCTCCCCCGCTCTTAAATAGTAAATTCCTTCGTTATAACGAATTTAATAGTAAAATAAGTTTTATCGCGTAGAATAGTGGTTGTAGCAGATGAGGATCATACGATTTTTGGTCATACGACTTTGGTCGTACGATTTTTCGTATCTACTGTTTTTAATTCGCACATATTGTTCCATCAACATAAGCAAGGAAATAGAAGGCGATGATGAAAGCTCGAAATCTCTCCCTACCGTCTTGACTAAAGATGTAGTAGTCGCACTGAAACGGCATTCAAACAGGTGACATAGAAATAAATTACGATGAGTTTAAGTCTTTCGTGCGTTGAAGAGAAAGGTTTAATTGCATAATATTGCACAAACTCTCGAATAGTATAATTATTTTATTATATTCATGTATTATTGTTAGTAAAGATATTATTCATTATAACGAATATTACTTGACGAATCGTGGATGCCTCCCCCGACACTTCGGTATAACGAGGTTCAACTGTATATCAAATATACTTACGTTAGGTTATTACCTTTTCAGGTGGACATGGATATTGCTATGCGTTCTCCAAAACGCAATTGATTGTCAACAGCCTGCCGAGTTCTACGTCGTGTCTGAATCAAGACTCGCATCGACAAAATACTTAATTTCAGATGCAATGCCGAGACACAAACATAACCACTTCTGACTCGAGGGATCCACAAGACCTGAAACTTGAATATGTACTTGTGAGGGCTGGGAGTCATGTTCATTTGCGCATGTTGATAAGACATCAGAACGTGCCAAACAGACCATTCCCTTGTCAATCCGCATCGATCGGTTGCAGGTAATTTTTATTCCTTTGCAATGTGTATATTAAGATGACGAATTATATTGCGTATATATGTTTTATCATCTTGCGTAAAAGCTAAATTGTTCTTTTGTCCTTCCCGATAACCAGTTTCTATAATACAAGGCTCCAGGGACTTATCCAAGCTCAATTGGATCTTGCACGCTGCTACGGAGTGTTGACGACCTTTCTCTCTCACACTCTCTCTCTTCATATTACGGGTAACAAACAGCTTCGTTTAATATTAAACTTTTTCTTAAATGTACATGTGCTAATATGTTATCTAATTTAAGCATGTCAGGAGTAAGCACCACACAAAAAGGCTATGAGTATGAAGAAAGAAGATATAACATTCTTCTAGCGGCAGATTTGTGAGTTTTCACTGAATACTTGTTGAGTGGTTTGTATCTATGATAATCAAGCTGCTAACTCTTATCTGGAATTTCATAGAGGAGGTTATTGAAATAGTAGAACATCCTATGGCGGAGGGGATGAGATTATAATGAAGGCGCAGAAGAGAGAGGAATTATTAAGTACACTCGCCGCGCTTCGATACGGCCATTCGATGGACTCCGTATTCCCGTGCCATAATGGCACGCCATTGTTTGTTTTATCAGGAGAAATCGGTCTCAGCCCTGTCACAATTGCCTCCTTTTTTTATCGGCACCAAAAATGTCCGCAGAGAACATCATTAGACAAGATCAAAGCTTTGGCGAGATGTTATGAATACGAACGGAATCAGAGTACCGGAACACGATGATATCCATGCTCAATTCGATCTTGCAAGATGTTACGATGATGGCATTGGAGTGCCAACTCGGCTTGGCGAGATGTTATGAATCGGAGTGCCGGAACACGATGATATCCATGCTCAACTCGATCTTGCAAGATGTTATGATGATGGCATCGGAGTGCCAAAAGACGATGTTATCCTGCTCAACTCAGTTTGGCGAGATGTTATGAGTGAACATCTAATTAATGAAAATCATGCTCGGACATTGCATCTATAATGAAACGTCAAAACTCTTGTTTTGGTTGATTAAATTATTTGGCGATCTGTTTTATCGCAATACGAACGGAATCGGAGTGCCGGAACACGATGATATCCACGCTCAAATCGATCTTGCAAGATGTTATGATGATGGCATCGGAGTGCCAAAAGACAATGTTATCCTGCTCAACTCAGTTTGGCGAGATGTTATGAGTGAACATCTGATTAATGAAAATCATTCTCGGACATTGCATCTATAATGAAACGTCAAAACTCTTGTTTTGGTTGATTAAATTATTTGGCGATCTGTTTTATCG